ACTCTGAAGAGGACAAGATTAAATATTTCAGTTAATAAATTTATTTCTTTATTATTTCGATTATATCGAGTTATAATAGAATATTGAATGCATAAATTTTTATTCACTCAAAGATAATATAACGAAAAATGAATTCTATAAAAATAAATAAATTCATTTTAAAGATTTACAAAATATTTTGAAGGATTTACTTCTGTAACTTATAACGCAGTTATGGAATTTTGTATCTTGTAGATTTTTACGTTACGGTTATTGTTATTGTTACGAAAAGTGTGTCTACTAGAATTAAACATGATAATATCAAGCAGTAATATCCAACCATTTTAGGTTGTCTGTGCTTATTGAGTGAAGAGAAAATCTTTTAGTAGAATATGAATAATAAACAGTAAATAAAAAATAAAATATAGTAAATGTATGTAAGTACAAAATTTCCTTTCTATCTTGTTAATCATACTTTATCTTTTGGATAAAACATGCAGCATATTTTCACGTATAAAATGTTGTCACAATATACGTGACTTTAATGGCATCATCACGCGGTATCATATTTGCTTGATGTTCCGCACTGGACGATCACCGATTAAAATTACGGCAGGAAATTTCCACCAGGTCACTTTATTTGCTCTACTGAACTGGAACTTGTAAATCACTACCATGAAGTAGATGAAGACCAGAATTGAACGAGAATAATCTTAAAGTTATAATACAAAAAATTAAAAAGTTATAATACAAAATAATTAATATTAAAAATTAAGTACGTAAATTACATATAAAGCACACATAGTCGGACGTCTGTCTCTGAGACGTTTGTTTGATTGGTAGAATAATGATGAGACTTTCCCATCGTCAACATTGGCACAGTAGTAATTGTAATGAAGAACACTAGTATGAATATAATTGATTCATATAATTAAAAAAATGTTAATCAATTCTTTAATAATCTTATGTATATTCATATAATTGTTCTATTTATTTGCAGATAATTGACCTGTACTACTTAAATTACTAACCTAACATAAGTGATTCGTTTGTACTACTTAAATGTTTGACCTCATAAAAATAATTAACCATCTGACCATATACGGGTAAGTGATTTATTATTAGAAATATCTGTCGACACGTTCTCTGCCATGCCGTTTTTGATTAACGCGTTGGATGTCGGGTTAGCCGATGAATAACCTACATCATTCCGTTCATTGTAAACGTTTATAAAAGATGAGTTATGATATAAATATATAAATAAAACAATTAGTGGACACAAAAAGGAAATATATAATATACGTTATGAACATAGAACATAATAAATTGTTATTAATTAAAAATGTTTCTTTATTTGTTTGCGGATATTCAATGAATTTCTAAGGAGTAAATATTTCATATATTAATAAATGATCTTTGAGAGAATATTCTCAATAAAATAGATTGTTGAGGATATGCATCTCGAATGTTTTAGTACGGAATAATATAAATTTTTATTCTATATTTTAGAATTAGATATCTGGTTATCAATAATTGATATAATTGTTTACTTGCTTTATTTGTTGTTTATATTTTGTGCGAAAGAGTTACGCAACTATCGCCGTATAGCAATAAGAAACGGCTGGAAGAATTAAAAAGATACAATTGATAGTTTGAAAATAATATGCTCCCTTGTGTATCGAAAATGATCCACCACCTATTGGTGATTCATGAAAATTGCATTATACATGATAAGTAGGTATCAGCTGATGATATTATGAAATAATTCATGATCATCTTATTTTACATAAAATAAATATAATGATGTAAACGGAAAATCTGATATGGGCCATTCATATACCGAAAGCAATAAACGTTATAGAGATTGATAAATATGTAAAAAATACTTAGATAATTCCCGATAATAGTAGAGCGCTTTTTACAGATAAGGAAACTCTGTCGTTAAATAATAATGGTTTTTTATCGATTGAGTAAAACTCCATTTGTAATATTAGAGCTCATTTTTGTAAATCAGATTAAACTCAGTTCGTAATAGTAAAGCTTTGGCTATCTGAATAAATAAAAATATTGGTTATAATAGTAGAGTGCTTTCTTACTGGCAGAATGAAAATTTTGGTAATAGTATATAACATCGATGTACCGATGAAATATCAATATAAAATCCTACGATTTCTAATAATCTAAATAATTACTAAATAATCTACTTGGTCGATACAAAGTAGATTTATTTATGACAATTTAAAATTAGATTATTACCGAAAATTTTTTATAATTAATAAGCATACAATTTAGAATAGAGTTGGTCAATAAAAACTCAAAAAAAAGTAAAACACAAAGGAGACTTTCTGAGAAAGTAATCTTAATAGAACAATGATCCGACTCAACTGACATCATTATCGATATTATTAAAATTATGAAAGCATTGAAAATAAAATTATAATCCATATATATAGTTATAACTTGCCGATAATAGTACAATTTTGTTGATATCGGGCTTGGTCGGCAATAGTATATTATTTCTTTACTGGCCTTTTAATGCTCGGCTGTTAATGGTAGATTTCTGTTTTAACAATAAATATAAAAACTCTGCCGGTAACTTTCATTACATATTATATAGAAATGATTTGTAGTCTCTTTAATAAACTTATTTATAACAAAGAGAAATTAGTAGAATTATTGTATTATGCGATATTTTTAACAAATAAACTAAAACATTTGAAGCGTTACAACTTTTTCATTTTTAAAATCCTTTTAAAATAATTTTGTTTTCAAATATTTGATAAATCCTAACCAATTCATAATTGTAGTACAACTGTATTACTATTGTATTACAATTATATATACAATTATATTACAACTATACAATATAATATGCATTATATTGTATCGTCGTAATTGATTTATACATTTTGACATTGAAAGTACTGCTCGTGGAAATCATAATTTACATACGAAACATACTGGTTCTAAAAGAGAACCAAATAATAATACGCAAATCTATAAAAAAAATGTGTAATATTTACGCTTTATCATTTCCAATTTTTTACTAGATATTAAATTTGTTTAAACAAATGTAAGATCGACGTAAACGAAAGCAATTTTGATCATTCATCGAATGTCTATAATTTTTTATGACCTTTTATGCATAAATTAATGAACTATGATAGAAAAAAATAATAAAATTGCATCCATTTATCATAGAACACAGCAATCACGAGAATTCACATAAGAGATAATGAAAGATAAAAATTACACTTACTGTTGCAGAAATTACACTTCTCGCGACCACGTTAATGATCGATGAACATTAAAAAGGCAACAATAAACCGGATAGAGATTTATGCAACCGTAGATTATTGCACGGTTTATAATTTTACCGTCCTAGATATGAAACATTTTGCTAACAACGTCAACTAATGATTTAAGATGTCTATTAAATTCGAAGAATGCATAAAAAAATATTACAAAAAAATATTTAAAAAAAAAAAGTTTGATAATAATCGATTTATGTCTTCATTCCAGGAATGCTATCTTATTTTACTTAAAAAGAACTCAAACAAGTTGCTGGCTTGTGATAAGATTACAGCAGTTTTTAATCTAGGTGAATTGCGATTCCGATATCATTCTCTGTCCAGGTTTCAACAGTGTCATTAGCCAGATTACAGAATGCCAGGTAAAAAAATTTATTCTCCATTTGTTAAAAAAAAAGTAATCGTATATCATATTTTTATAAACATTTAGCGCAAAATCAATGCAACATTTAACAAAAAACAATGCAACATTTAACATTTTATATCGTAAAAAAAACTATATTTTACAAACTGTTATATACTTATACGTTAACTAATATTTTTGTATTCTTCGCTTTCATTAGATTTTCATGAATATTTCTAAATGAAAATTTAATAATATTACAGCATACAGGTGGCTTAGTCGATCGGCGGGATTACCAATACCCGAAACAGCTGTCGTTGGTGGACGTGACATAGACGGAAGTACTATCTATGTTGGTAAAGCTTACCATGAAGGTGACATACTTCCGGCAAAAGTCATTCCCGAGAAAAATGTTGCTTACGTTTGTCATAACGGCGAGGAACATCCCAAATCTGAGTTCGAGGTAAGAAGTAAATTTATATATATATATATAAATATATAATATATATATATATATATAAATATATAATATATATATATATATATAAATATATAATGTATATATATATATAAATATATATTTATATAACTTATATTAATTTATATAAACTTATATATAATTTATCTTTTATATATATATAACACTTTTGTTAAATTCCTTAAAATAAAATCTATTTTTATTAAAATCTTTATATATATATATATATATATATATATATATATATATATAAAAAAATAATATATAACAACAATATTTTTTTGAATATTTTTGAATATATAAGAAAAATAAATAATTAAATTTATGTTCATCTATTTACGAAAAATATTATTTTATAATAATAAGTATATTCTACTAGTTAAATGATTAATACTGTAATTGATTTATATGTTTCTTATTCCAATTGAAATGATATCAAGTATCGATATTTAATTTGAATCATTACTACTATTTGTCTAAATTTAGATTACGTGACACGTGTGAATAGAAGTTACGAATAATCAGAATAACGCGAAACGATAGATGTTCGAATGATTATCACTATATCGATTGATTTCGCCCCTCTTATAATCTTATCGCTTCGCTAAGAAAACAAATGATATTTCCGATATGTTACTTTTCGCTTGAATACGTCCTCAGTCAAGGTAAATTTCCAAGTTAGTCATGTACGTAAAAGGGAAACTAACGGTTAAAGAAAACTTTTTTTATTTGATAAATCAAATTTATTGCACAAGACTATTAACTAGATAACTTCGTATCAAGGTGAAATCGATCAATTTATAAGTTAGATATGTAAAAAAAAAGAAAAAAAAAAAGAAAAAAGCTAAAAACAAGAAAAATAATGTTCGAAATAATACGTTACGAGGAATAGGATTAAATAATTATTTTTTATCTATACTTATAAGATACATTTATATTGAGAACATGTATACTGAATTATATTAACTATATAGATTAATTGATGTTGCATGAGTCTCGTATATAATTAAATACTACTGTTTCTGATTTAGGTATTGTGTCAAGCCGAATACGCATGGGAATTTTGCAGTAACGGATCCATTCCTGCCGATGCCGTAGTTGGTGGAGAAACATCCGAAGGAGAGACACTATACATTGGCCGTGTTCTTCATAAAGGTTCTCAAACCGTCGGCAAGGTTTTTAACAACTTTATATCTATTAACTTTGTATATTTTATTGAATTTTTTGGATATCGATAAATCGATTAATTTTGTTATACAGGTACAACCTAGTCACGGCTGCCTTTATATTCCTTTTGATGGAGAAGAATTATCCTTCAAAGACTATGAAGTCCTTACTATTCGTTGATATATTTGAATATTTTTCCTATTCAACTATAACATAATGCGAGATAATTAACATCAAAGAATCAATCGATTCATTGTTATTTTAAAATTTGATTTATAAAAAGATACGACCAATGAGAGATCAGTTAATATAAATTTATTACTTGCAAAGTGACTATCGTACTTATCTTATTTTTAACGCAAACACTCCAAAATTATAAATTATCAGAATGATATATATATATATATATATATATATATATATATCTACTTCAATGATTATATACTGATGTTAAAACATTTTTTAATCATTTGATAATATCGATCAAAGTAAAAATAACTCACTGCTAATTTTGATCTCTTCGTTTTATCGTATTCATTTAAATAATAAATTAGTAGCACGGGAGGAAATCATGAGTACACGAACCTTCAAAATCACATTATTGTTACGCTTCGTGATCACAACGGAAATGATGACATTTCGATGCAACGTATCTATACCTTTTTTTTTAAAGAGAACTTTGGACAAAAGACAACGAGTTACGACACGACACGATCCGACGTGTAGACAGTGAAAACAGTGAATGGCCACTAAATATAACTAAATAACAAAACGGTCTGACCTAGAAGCATCGCATATCGTGTTGGGGCCAACGAGTCACGCGACGATGTCGCTTCGCCTTCGCCGATTCATCGTTTATCTTTTGTTGTCAAACAAAACGGTAATAAAATTCGTCGTATGAAACGGAACGTTTGTCGATAAATGATAAATATTCCGCGTTTGTATATATTTATTTTTATTTTTGTTTCTTTTTTTTTTCTTTCGAATAAACCTTAATAAATATTTAGAAAATTAAAAAGAAAAAGAAAATCAGAGAACATTCGTCTTTTTTATTTCTAAATATATTAATCGAATTATTCATACAGTATTTGTTGGAAAATTTTTACACCGTCACTTCGAGACAGTATTTGAATACGAGAAATACTTAACTCTAAACTCGAGCCCGCCTAAGCGCATGCATTCGATAATGCGTCCACTGCATACATGTAATTAGAGAGGTACACGCGACGAAACATTGATTACACCATCGAAACATCACAACACAACAGAACTGTTATAGCACTGAATCGAATATTTTACAAGCATCACTCGAATTGCAAGCATTACTCACTTGACGACGTCATACAATCAACTTAAGAGCCAGGGCCGACCGTAGATACATAATGTGTGCTTGTACGATATTATTGTTCTCTACCAAGTATTGAAAACCATTCTTTGGATCCATTGATGAAATCGTATTTGTATCGAAAAAGAACCATACTTTTCGATGATTTTTACGTTAAATGCACTGTTACATTATATCGTTTCGAAGTTTCTAAATCTTTCTTCTAAATCATTAATCGCTAATAAGAAAGTCCTGGTACGTTAGTCTATTAAAATAACGAAACGATCAATGAAAATTGTTATAAACAATTGTGATTTTCTACAAAAAAAAAACTGAAATTAAATATATGCTATTAAAGTGTATTTACATATACAATTTAGAACACGAATTGATGAAATCTTCTCAGTCTTACTCATTAAGTTACGTAATAAAAGGTTTTCTTAAGCATTTATGAGATTGAATGAAATTGAAATATTAATGATTGCAATATTGGCCTTGACAATGTTATAAATAATTGTTATAAACAATTGCGATTTTCTATAAGAAGTTATTAAAGTGTATTTATATATACAAATTTAAGCGCATATTGATGAAATCTTCTCAATCTTACTCATTAAGCTGAGTAATAAATGCATTCTGAAGCGTTTGTGAGTATGGCTTTAAATATTGGCCTTGATGAAGTTATAAATAATTTTCCGTTTCTATATTACAAATGACTTATTTGCTTCGGTTCATTGTATATAGCATATAAATAAAGAATTACCTTTTATTTACGTTTAATGACTCATTTGGTATAAAGGATCGAGACTCCTTCGTGACATAACTGTTTACTTAGCATTCGCAATCAAACTTGGCTGAAGGAGCGGCTTGGAGAGGTTTAATTAAAAGAGCAATCAACAGGCAAACGAAAATTTCTGGATTTAGTCACTCACAAGGTTCAAAACTTTCAACGTATTTTACATTGCACGTCATAAAAATAAGACCGAAAAAAAAATTAACAAAAAACAAGAGAAAAACAAAAACGAAAAAAATCTAAATAAAAAAACAAAGGCTCACTGTTTTCCAGTTAACATTAATTATAAATCACATCGAGAAAATAACATCAAGAAAATAACGGTTTTATTATGCAGATGATATAAAAGAAAAATAAATACAAGAGTCGCGACGATACGTCACAAAAGAGGAAGAAGAATAAACCTGTGGCAAGCCTTTTAGAGATCGATACATTCCTGTCGAGTTCCGAGTGGTGATCACGATGACTTCGCGTAATCGTCTCGAATGATCGAAGGTCAAAGAAAAATTGTCGTTTGCATTTGAACATCATTTGCATTTGAACGTACAAAGTAACGTAATCGTCGATTTGTTATAATCGACAGTTTACCAAACCTCATTATGAGATGTTCAAAAGTTACATCGATGAATCGTTTGTATAAAAATATATAATGTTCGATGCAATCGATTATTTGATTTAATCTCTTCCAGGTAAAAACGTTTAAACATTTTCTATATGATTTCTATGAGATAAAATCGTTTAGAAATGATAATCCTCTCTTGGTAATAAGTAAACTAGGGAGTAAAACGACCAAGACAATAATTAATTCTTGGAATAATTTATCACATTTAACTACATATGTATATATCTCTATGTCGTCTATAACAACATCGGCAATAACAAATTCAATAACCTCATATTATTTACTTTGTTAGTTGTTTTTCCTTTGAAAATTCACGAGTTCAAATGATTGGAGATAATTGTTCTCGTGTCAATATTATTCACTATGATTACAGGAAAGTCGTTTCCCTGTCTCTTTTATCTACATGTCAATGTCTTTTCTATATATAGTCTAATCATATATACGTACTTATATATATTAAGTATAAGTACGTCTTTATGTATTTTCATGCTTCAAGGTTCAAGGAATAGTGGTAGCACAATAATATTATCAATATAATTATAATATATTAATAAATATAATTTACCATCATATATTTTAGTACTTTTTCGTAAATCAAAGTTATAGTGCGAATCGTTGATCTTTTAAATAGGCAGTAGTCTGACAAAAATATACATGACATGTCATGTGTCAAAAATATCTACGATAATAGTGCTTAATTAATAAGCGCTTTTTTTCCTGTTTGCGACTTAAGGAACCATTCTTTTTGTTAAGTATTCGTATTTCTCGTATGTTTCCGATAAAATCGATCAATCGATCGTTAATCGATGCCAAGATTCCTTTCACCGAAAAATATGAAAAGTAGAGAAAAGAAAATGCAATACTATTGAAAGATCTGACATAACCATATACTCTAGTTACATCTAATCGCATCTAGTTTCAAGGTGATTTTGATTGGTCATTGTATAAGAAATTGTTGATGCACTGAACGCAAAGAATAGAGAATTTTAATTGGCATAAAAAAAAAGAATATAATGCTAAAGAATAGAAGATAAAGAAAAGAACATAATTATCGACTATAAATGTTTTCAAATGTCAAAATAAATGCCGTGCAAAATAAAAGTAAGTTTTTGATGAAACAAATTTAATAATCACGTCAATTTGTTCAACTATTTCAATTGTTTGTTTTTATCTCCTTTATCGTGTTATCTTTCGAATATATTCTGTTAATAGCGTTATTGTAAAACACATTTAAAACAACGATTTGTCATAAAGTTGACATCAAAAAGGAAAACTAACAAGGTAGCATTATTTTGAAATTATGTTTTGATGTGTGTTATAAAAATAGCAAAAAGAATAAAATACAACAGTTGATGAGTTATCCGTCTATGTGAACGAATACACTATGAGGACTATAAAGGTCATACTGTAAACTTTAGAAAGAAACGTAAACGAATAAGAAGGTAAGACGCCATATTGATAAGAATCACTAATAGTAGAAGACTAAAAAATTAGATGAGAACAAAAAACAAAACGTCTAGATTACATAGTAGCTTTCAAGGCCGAGGCAGTATTAGCACTGTTGTGAACGATCTTATGTTTTATAGGGAACGCTTGAGCTGACCTTGACCCGAAAAGAGACTGACCACGGAATCGGAAACGTACTCGTTTGTTCTCGGCACGCGTGTTCTCCATCGAAGTGTGCTAAGAAGAATTCCGGCGCAGCGACGATGTTACTGGCAAGTACTGGCAAACGTTTAGAGCATGGATCGGCTGGGTGGATGTACTCGAGGGCAGCTCTCTTCAATATCGAGGAGGGGAGCGTGAGGTCGGAAGAGGAGGAGGAGGAGAAAGAAGAAGGAAATCGTTCGCTGATGGAGAAGGAAGAGAAGAGAGAGAGAGAGAGAGAGAGAAGAGAGAGAGAGAGAGAGAAAGAGAGAAAGATAAAGAGAGAGAAAGAAAAGTGATGTTGGTGGTGGTGGTGGTGGTGATGGTGGTGGTACTAGTGGTACACAGGAGGAAGAGGAGGAGAAGGAGGAAGATGGAGGGAAGGAGCCAACACGCGTATCACGATGCACAATGGAGCATTAGCCAGAAGTAGCGGCGCGGACGGTGTCTCTCGCGGACGGTGTCTCGAAAAATCAACGAGATACTTTCCGATCTTGTCACCAAATCGAAATTACAAAGAAAAATATTATCGAACAACGTTATCCACTGTTTTCGTCATCTTTCGTCGTCTTTCGCAGTTCCTTATATTGTTCGGAGGACGATTAAAATACGACACATCCAAGAGTTCCTTCGAACAGTTTTCAACCGTTTCGTTGCGCGATATAATCCGTGCGAAAGAGCTCTTTGGTGTATAAAACGAAAACGACCACTTGGAAAAACGTGACCCTTTCAACATTATTATAACTGCATTATCTCTTTGACAGTTATAATTGAAAGGATAAAATTTTATTTTATTTTATTTTTTTATGGATAACTGATAAGTTATTATTTCGAATGTATCGACGGGACGATTTATTATATTCGGGTTTCTTAAAATTTTAAAGACCGTTCTGTGTTTTCATCACGAATGGACGAACGAATGTATAACGATTTTGCAAGGGTACTAGAGAATTTATTTTAGACGTATAACATCCTATAATTATTGGAAACTGGTACAGCGAGTTATCCTGAACATCTACGATACTTCCTGTATTCTCAGCCCTATAAAGGAATCGATGATCTCGTATTCTGGTAAAATAAATATTTCTTTATATAAAAGTACACGCACGTATTATAAAGCCACGCGTAGAAATTTTGAATTTATAATGTGTTTATTTTATTATTGATATCATGCTTTTCATATATATATGTATATGAAAATAATATACAGTGTACATTAAATGTTATAAGAGAAAAACTTTATTATTTTCGAGCGATTTTTTTACTTATATTTAACCAAAACTGTGTTTCTCTTGCAATGAGCAATTATGATTGACTCGTACCACTGCAGCACCTACACTCTTGTACTACGCATTAGTGTAAGCGTATTTAACGCGCGCTTCGTCTGTATCGAGTACCACTATCTGTGCAGCATCGTTTTCATGTTCTACAGTAATGAACCCTACCTCTACATTCATCGTTTATTCTTTTTTTTTCAACGCAGCTCTGGTACGTACTGTCACGGAATAGAGCCGATCTCTCATAGTCCTTAAACAATTCGGAAGCGAGTGTAATCAAAGGAACGACTTTACGTTGATCTAAAACTCAGAGATTAGAGCCATTTCGAACGAGATGGCAAACACAACTACAACGGCTCTGGCCGGTAGTCCGGAAAAGAAAGTCGAACCTGTCAAGGCAGAGGAAGCCATTCCCTGGAAGTCGATGAGTCTTCGCCAAAAATGGACTCTCTTAACGAGTAACATCACAGTGGAACCCATGATAGCTTGTTACGTGATACCCAGTATGTTGGCTTCTCTGGCCACCCAAAATCTCAATTTGGAAAAAGCATGCAGGGTGAACTTGGCCTATTCGGATGAAATCTGTACGAATTTAGCAGCAAGAAACACGTCGGGACTAGAAGCTGAAGAAACTGCCGTGCAACAGCTGGTTGCAGGCATGCAAACGTGGAAAACGGCTTTACAGAGTGGTTTACCTATCTTACTGATTCTCTTTATGGGCGCTTGGAGCGACAAAACCGGCTATAGAAAACCCTGCATGCTTTTACCGATAGTCGGAGAGTTCCTCAGCAGCGTCAGTTTAATAGCATGCACATATTGGTTCTACGAGCTACCCATGGAAGCTACCGGAGTATTAGAAGCCCTATGGCCGTCCTTGGCCGGTGGTTGGTTCACAATGTTCATGGGTGTATTCAGTTACATCGCAGACATAACGTCGGTCGAATCGAGAACACTCAGAATAGGAGCGGCTAATGTTTTCTTCTCTCTTGGCGTCCCGATCGGTATGGCCCTTTCCGGTGTTTTGTATATGAAACTTGGGTTCTATGGTGTCTTCAGTATCTCTATGATGTGTTATGTCATGAGCTTCGTCTATGGACTCGTCGTTATTAAGGAACCCCCAAGACCTCCGTTAGCGAGAGAGAAAGAGAAACTTCCGGAGAAGAAGATGTCTTTTCTTGCCTCGGCCAAGGACTTTTTTTCTTTGAAACATATCGAGGAGACCTTTAGCGTTGCCTTCAAAAAGGGTTCCAACAATAGACAGAAAAGAGTCATCATGCTGATGATCATTGTGATGGTCGTCATTGGACCATTGTACGGTGAGTTTTTCTTACTTATCTTCTATGACGAATACTATAGCAAATATAATTGAACCGCAATATATATATATATATATGGTCGATTTACTTGTTGCACGAGTTAACTCTTTCGTTACATGTTAAACTCGGTAAAAGTATTTATGATATACTACGTTGGAATCGATAAAAAAAAAGTATAAAATATATATGTTGAAACGTTTAACTTGCTTGGTGAAAGTTGCCGATTGCGGTGAAATTTTTATAAATAAGCGCATGCACTATATCATCTGAAATAGCGCATAGTCACTTTCAACAGATCAATATATTCGCGAAATCTCACCTATGTGATCGTAATTTAAACGTTCCATATAATTTCTTTGTTGGACATTCAACTCTTTCTTTTTTTTAATATAAAGCTATTCAAGTAGAATTTATCTTGACATTTAACTCGAGAATAAATTAATACCTGAGAATTTAATGGTTCATTAGCATTGATTTTTTAAGCAAAACACTTTTGTTTGACCTTTTATATACTCTAATTAATGACTTTCTTTATAGAAAGCTATCTATTCAAAGAAAAATTCATTTTGACATTTAACTTGGGAATACATTAATATCTAAGAATCTAATCTTTAATTACTATAAAGTTTTCAGATTATAATTAATTCCATTTCATTGTCATGCCGTGCTAATTAATGGGATGGTATTTTAGTCTTATCTTTTCTTTCTCTCTCACAGGGAATCTAAGAACAGTGAGTATATGTAATCATTCTTAAGAATGTCAGATACATTACTGTAATTTTATACATTCCCATTGTTACTTGTATCCATTGCAAAAAATCGGTGAAAATGAGAATTGTTTTTGCAATCGTAAATACGATTTAAAAAAAATTTACTATTTAATTTTTATTTTCTAGTTTGATAGAAAAATGTACAAAACTTATAACAAAATACGCAGTCGCTTTTATAGTAAATTCCGAGAATTAGTTACATGCATTAATTAATGTTTTTATACAGTTTTCCTCAAATTATCACATGCTGATCAAGAGAATAATCTCGCACAAAATATGATCTTTCAAAACTCACGTGAACCAATAAAAATATATACATGTATCCATTCGTAGATAGGGTAAATCTTCAATTATAGATTTAACGAGAATATCTATAATTTGGTATTTTTTATTTTATCTCCATTATTACAAGAAATTATATATTTTTTATCTTTATAAATAAATAATATA